TGCCGTGGAATGCAGGCCATGCTTTAGCTTAACTTGCATGCAGAGTAAGAATTTGGCCTCTGTTGAAAAAGGAGCACATTCTAAGTTCCTTCCCTCTGTCACATTTTTGGACAGCTATGGCACAGCATGCTTCCTGTTTTGGGAAGTAAAGATTTCCATAAATGCTTTGAGTCATTTTTTCCCTAAAAGTTATAAGCAGTGAATCCTTAATGTTATTCTGAAAAGATTGTCAGGGAAAGAGCCAGAGGACCTTAATAATGTTACTAATTTTCTAAGTCTGTAGTCCTTTTTCCCTGGAGGCCTCATAGGAATGTAGATGAGAATATTGGGCTTTTCCAAATGGGGAAGTACTTGATACTTGAATTCCTCAAGCAGCTCCCCTTCTTTTCTCTTAAAGCTATCCATGGGAATTTCTTGCTCACTGGTGCTTACGATAATACCGCCAAGATCTGGACCCACCCAGGCTGGTCCCCACTGAAGACTCTGGCTGGCCATGAAGGCAAAGTGATGGGCCTAGATATTTCTTCTGATGGGCAACTCATAGCCACTTGCTCATATGACAGGACCTTCAAGCTCTGGATGGCTGAATAGGCAAGACCATGGACAAAGGACTAACTTCAAGCTCTTCCTTAAGAGCCATTTTCATAAAAGAAAGGAATTAATTTGTTTCGTTCTATCATGTTTTTTGCCAATTGCCATGTATAGGCCCTCAAAAGAATTGGATTTCCAGGTCAGCCTCCACTCCAGGTAGGCAGCCCAATCTGGGTGTTGAGGAACCCCTTTCGTAGTTGAAATTTTTATTTTCATCTTCAAGCCCTGCCATGGACTGTGTAGACATTGTGGTTATTAATCTTTTATTTGAATGCCCTATTGCCTCCTTCATAGCACTCAGGATTGTGACTGGCTCCTTTTTTAATTTTGAAACTTGGCCTTCCATTACATGGTACATGCTTCAGGACTACATGTGACCCGCAGAGCAAGGTGGCTGAGCTATAGTCTGGAAGCCCTCAAGTAAAGGGGCACTCCTCGCTACACACTGGTTAACTCTGCCTTGACAGAGTGGAAACCTTTCCTCTGCCTTGAGAAGAGGAGATGAAGAGGTGGACCACAGCTGTGCTCAGGGTGATGGAGTAAAGAAGATTTTACCTCTTCCTGTTGAGTTTGCTTGGAATGCTAACCACATCAGGAAGTTCAGAACTGAACATTTGCCCTGTTCAGAAATGTCTTTCATTTTGCTTTGAAGTTTGGCAACCTTTGTTACCCCAAAGCTAGGCCATTGTGTCAAGAGGCAATGGAATTTCTAGAAAGCAAACATGAAGTCTGTTGTGCCACCTCCTTTGTATTGGTTATTCAGAGGATGTACCTTTTGTGCCAGGGTAACTGGGAAAAATCCCCAAGGGGTATTCTTCAACATCAACTTTTTTTTTTTTATTATGCACTAACTACAGAGTAAAATCCTATTATAAAAATGTCCTTTAAAGACTTATTTTATATAGTTAGGCATTTTCTGAATCCCAGCCATTGGTCCATAGAGGTTCCTCCTTTTTTTTTGATTTGAGGTATAACAGATGCTATCAAATATGGCTTATTCCTGTTTTTCTCTTCTTAATAAGCACTCTGCTAATATTTCTACTGCCTTGTAGGCCTATTAGCAAACTGGGTCTAGGCTTTGCAATTCGTACTCATTGGCTGTGCAGCAGTCACCTTCACCTCTTCCAACCCCAAATACACAACTGCTGAACACAAAGTACGCAGTAAATTCTGACAGAAATGCAGAATTCCTTCTTTGGAAGAAGAAAGGATTGCATGTAGAGAAATGGAGTAGGGTTTATATGATGGCTTTTTTTGAATGTTCAAAACACTTCATTTGTTTTCCAGAGAGGCTGACGGTGGCTTAGTCTAACTCTATCCTGCAAACTATGAATGTGTGATAGGATAGCTAAACAATCTCTTTTGTCTAATTTTAATTATTGCCAAATAGTTGGCTATTTTGGGTCCTGGTTAAGCTTCTGAATTATCGCCTCTGCCCTCTGTTGAGCATTTAGCACTTCACTATTGTTTAAGTATTAGTGGGTTCTATTTCCTCCATAGTTGGCCATGAAAAATAATTTTTCATTATTAACTTTTATAGGATGTGTAAAGTAATAATGAACATTAGTGTATTACCATGCAGTCTGGATATAGTGTATTAACAAAGGTTTTTAGATTTTCAAGTTTAAATTTTACTATTCCATTAAACTTTTTTTTTTTTTTTTTTCTTGGTTCCAAGAAGTTTATAGAGATAGCAATCAGGTGAACACATTTCATGTAAACCTTTGGCAAAACCATTCCCTTGTGGAATATACAGTACTTCATTGTAAGGAGGCAGTTAGCTGAGCAGCATAAACCAAATGTAGCATTTCATAATGGGAGAATCAGAGCCACCACTTAAAAGGATACTTCCCGCCTAAAGACTGTGCCAGGTATGTTAGACTCCTCGTTTAATTCTCCCAATCTTCTGAGTTAAGGCATATTCCCTTTTTACAGACAAAATTGAAGCTCAGAGAAGTTAAGTAACTTGTTCAGGTTTACCCTATCAGTGAGTGGTAGAGCCTGGTGTGTCTGTGAACTTAAGAAGAGATTTCATAGAGCTTTATTGAGTATGTTGGTAGCACTGGCCAGACAGAATGACCAGTCCAGCCAACATGGCCTGTTGCCTATACAGTGCCAGAGCTTTTTAGCCCTTCTATCTGTGACACCCTTGTGATGAGTCACAGCATCTTAGTCTGACTTCATGCCAAAGGGAGTCATGGGATTTCACCACCTCTACCTCATGAACTAATAAGGCACCTGTTGTGTTACTCAGCAGGAAACTGTTTGCATCTTGGGATAGATGTTTTGTTGTGTGGAACTGTCTTAGGCATTGCAGCATGTCTCAGCGTCCCTGACCTGTGGAGTAATAAAAGCCAGAAGCACAACCACCTCCCTTCATTGGAATACTAGAGATGCTTCCAGACTTTTCTGCATGCCCCAAGGTTACAACTACTGAAGGCGAAAATGGAAGACACCCTGCTGTTGAGTATATCCTCCCCTACCCCAAAAAACTCAAACCTGTATCTTTCCTTACTTGCCTGGTGTATTAGCCACTCCAAGAACCACTCCCCAATTCTGCTTTGACTAGAGGCCTCCACCACTTAACTGGCTGATGAGCTGGAACAAGACAGCTAAACCTGTGGAGCCTCAGTTTCACCCGTAGAATAGGGACGAAGCTTCCTTAGCCCAGAGCAGTAAGCTCAAGGGTAGAGGCAAATGTTCCTTCCTGAGCATCCCCTGTTCCCTAGTTCCTCTCCCTTTCCTCGTGGCTCAGAAAACATGGGCAGATCATTGCCTAATTTACTTGCCATGAGGTTAAGGAACAAGGATATATAAAGAAATGAAGTCAGCAGGGAGAGGTTGAGTCCCAGCTCCAGTATAATTATCTTTGATGGCACAAATGGAGAGGTAGGTATCAGTCCCCTGGCAGGATACATAGGCAGCATTCCAGTTTTGTAAAGGAGAATTTTCTTCACGTTGGTTTTTAACACCATTTGGTCCTATTAAACGTGAAATACAGGTCTTGGCTATTTTGGAATATCTTGTACATTAAGATCCCTCAAGACTTTATAGAAGATAGTTCCATTAATACAAAATTTTTAGAACAAATAAAACCGACTCAGTTTGTGACCTCTGAAAGTTTATTCTGCAAATCAAGATCTTTTCATAATTGTGATGGTGTTTTAACCACTTTGAGACTGTTCCAGAGCCGTGGGCCACACGGCAGTATTAAAACTGGGGAAGCAGCAGAGGGTTTATACACTGCAGAGGTAACACCTTGTAGCCAGACAGCCAAAGCATCTAGTTTGCCTTGGTTCTGAGATCCTGTCGTGTAAAATGAAGACCAGGGTCCCCTGTCTGCTTGGCCTGGCATAGAAGCTAAGGCTGTTCCTCTGTCCAGGGCTTCTCGGCTTTACCTCTCAAGGTCAGAATTCCATTGGCTGGAGGAGGGGAGTGGGCTCTACCCAACATCCAGGTTTAATCGGAGCCTCTGCACCTAACAGGAGAAATAAACACCTTTTCTCCAAATCCCAGATTTCTTTTGACCCACTGACCTGGTTTCTTTCCATCTTTAAACTTTTATACTCTAAACACTCCATAAAGCACATACTGACAGGTTGTCTGGTTCAAGAAGCCACTGAGTGAACATGCCCTCCTTGTGGTAAAGGCTGTCTGTCACCCATGGATAATCCCACCCGTCGCATCCCCTAGTTCTGACACAGATGGGCCAAGTAAGTGGTGGTTGAATGAGTAAGTGCGTGAATTCATGAGTCCACACCATTTTTTCCTGGGACTGGTGGCAAGACTTCCAAAGAGAAAACTGAAAGAAGGCATACACACTTGCTCACAGAATTGAAGCTCACTTTGCAAAATTTTAGCAACACATAATAAAAGGAGCAACTCAAACATGAACTGAGTCCGAAGCAACTCCATTGAGAAATGCAACTTTCTGGGCTAGTTGGGCTCCTGGATACCGTGGTCCAGCCTTTTGGCACAACTTGCTCTGTAGCCCTGTAATCACAGATCTGCTTCTCTGCCCTTGGCCCCGTGGCTCACACCCAGAGGTCTCTTCACATCTTTTCCCAGCCTTTTAGCTTTCAGAGGTTCTCATCATAGTTAGGAATCCGTTTCCAGAAGCAAACATATGGACTGATACGTTGTAAAAATGAGCAATACTACGACGGAAGACAACCCCAAATGAGGCTGTGCAGTCCCCGTCCCCAGCAGTAGTCAAGAAGGGCTTAGATCCAGGGCTCTTGGGTGGCTCAGTTGGGTAAGTGTGTGACTCTTGCTAACTCAGGTCTTGATCTTGGGGTCGTGAGTTCAGGCCCCATGTTGGGCTCCACGCTGGGCATGGAGCCTACTTAATAAGAATTTGGGGGGAAAAATTGTTTTTAAAGGCTTGGTTCCTTGTCCAGAAACAGCACTCACCCTACACCCCAGAGGAATTGCCTGGTCCAAAAGATGGAGAAGATGAGCAACAAAGTGACACTGAGGATAACAGCCATCAGGTAAGCAAAGATCCGGAACTGAGGGTTGCGGAAACACTCCCTCAGAGAGTAGCGGCTGGGGATGGGAATGGGCAGAGACCTGGTGGTAGCACCCATGTCTGGGGGCGGCCCTGTTTGGCTCCCAGGCTCAGGGCCTAGATCAAGTGTGTAGACCCGGGGCTGGCGCAGGAAGTAGCGGCTCTTGGGCTGGTCCTTGAGACAGAGCTGGTGGCCTTCCAGGATGACATGATGGGGCTCCAGGCGAAGCAGGGTGAGCACAGCAGTGTCCGTGGGCAAGTCAGTGACCGGCTGCCCAGAGGCCAGCACAGTGGGCTGGCGACAGAGCGGACACAGCAGCCGCCGTCGGGCTGGGGTCACCAGGCTGAGGTGGGCCAGGCACTCCACACAGAAGGAGTGACAACAGTCCAGCACTTTGGGGGTATGAAATGTGTTGTTGAAGGGGTTCCAGCAGACAGGGCACTCGGGCTCCTGGCCCTGCCCCTCTGCCATCCTTAGATGAGACGCTGGGAGGCCTGGCAGGAATGTCCTGGCAGAAAGGGAAAAGGAGCAAAGGGATACCTGTTGAGTTCCATCCTTGCGCTTGGTCCCAGACTAAGTGTTCTGTGCCTTGTTGAAACATACCATCACCCACATTTCACAGATGAAAAACTTAGATTCAAAAGATGCACCGGCTTGTTCCAGAGCACCCATTTCCTAAGCTGTAAAGTCTGGTGCTCAGGCAACATGCCCCCCCAATCAGGGAAAAGGCCTGAGTCACCCCACCATTAGTGAATTGCCACTGGAAGGGACTGCACCCCCACTTGGGAAGTGGAAAAAAGTGCTCCTTTCTCCATGTGACTGCCCTTGACTTCTCAGACTCCAAGGAGAGGGAGGGTAGCCCGTCAGTGGTTTGTGTTATAAGACAAATACTTCCTTCCCTGCTGCCTCAAGTCCCTGAGTAATGCAGAGATGGCCTTTGTGAATTCCCTGGTCTGTCCCTCCCCTGGGGACAAACGCCAAGCCCTCTTTCCCTCCTCCCACTGGGCTACAGGGCCAACCCTCCAGAGCCCATATGCCCAGTTTTTGTGCAGGGCCACCGCATTGTCCTGGCAGGGGTACCCTGCCAAAGCTTTTCCCCTTGAACTGGAAGCTTAGGCTCCCTTGCCCAGGTCCTCCGATCAGCCCTTCCAGAACCTCCTAATACCTGGCCTCCCCTGGCTCTTCCTCCCTCCCTCTGTTCCCTAAAACCCCAGGGCACTCACCTAGGCTTCCTTGGTACTAGGGTGGTCAGGCAGACTACCTGAAGGACCCGAGGCTCCAGTCTTTCCCTCTCCTGAATCCACACCACTTTGGGAGACTGCCTTCTCTCCACCAGCCACCAACCCAGGGCCCGTCTCCATGGCAGCACACACGCAGCACCTGGAGGTGCCAGGTGGCCGGGGCTGCAGCCTCTTGAGCGCAACTGCCTATGGCACAGGCCACAAAGCTGCCTGGGTGGCAGGGGCAGGGAGGTGGGGGAGCAGAGTTCCCCCAGGGTGTGGCGAACAACCAACCGTGGAAGCCAAACATCTGCAAGCTCGTGGGCAGTCTCTTCAAGACCTTGAAGGTCTCCATGGCCTGGGAAGGTAGGGGTGGCAATTTCCTTTTTCTAGATTGTGGAGAGGGTAAGTGAGCCTCTGGGCTCTCCTGGGCCCTCATTTCTTTTCTAAAATGGCTAAAACCTCCTCCTCACACAGAGGCTGCCCACCCTGCACTTGGGTGGCTGTGAACTTGATGGCTACACAGCCTAAAATCTCTGCACCTCAGATTCAGCAAATTTGTTTATTTCTAAGTAACATCTACACCCAACGTGGGGCTCAAACTTTTGACCCAGAGATCAAGAGTTGCATGGTCCTCCGACTGATCCAGCCAGGTACCCAACCTTTCTGATGGTTTAATGTGCCGAAGTTGCTGTAACCACAGCAATCTTGCTGCCATCTTTGTTCTTAGAACACAGCCTGGCAGGCAGTGACCGCTGAGGTCTTAGAGTCCAAAGGCTGGCCATCTCACCACCCTTGGGGACTTAAAAGAGGGAGTCAGGAAGGAGGAGAGTTCCAGCCCCACTTCCCCATTTCACCCAGAAACACCTAGCTTTTCTCCTATCGATCACTTGAATAAGTTGAAAAGTTGAGCTGCCGAGGGGGGGCAAAAAAAAGTCGAAAAATCACTTCTCCATCCTAACCGCTCACATTGCAGATGGGAGCCAAGAAGTGACTCTGACCCAAGGTCCCCCAGCTCGGCAGTGGCGTCACCTGCCGGATGTGTGCTAGTCACCACGCGCTAAGTGCTTGCGCCTATCAGGAGATCCCCCGAGCTGTGAGTCTCTCGTAGGAATCCAGGAAGCGTGCAGGGAGTTTGGGGGAACCAAGTCTCCCTGGTGCTCCTCCTAGGGTGCCATCCACCCTGACTCAGTTGAAACCTGAAGCGAAACCTGCTGACACTCTCCTGCCCGCCCATGGCTTCCTGGTTTTCTTCTAGACTTCTGTCACGGTTCCATGTAGGGAAGACGAAGCAAAGGTATGCAGAAGGAGGATGGAACAGCTCTGGCCGAAGCTGGGCGAGTTTACCAGGGATCCTTAACTACGAGCGCCTTCTGTGGACCATGCAGTCATTGTATAGTTATTAAGGTATTGAATGCCCACTGCATGCCAGGAGTTGTGCTAGGCACTGGGTAAATAGTGGTGGACCAAAGAGACACGACTTTGACCTCATGACATTTAGAGTATAATGAAGGGAAAAGACATCTAATGAGCAGTGGGCAGTTAATATGTAATGCGTGCTACAAAGGACAGAAAGGAAAACGGGCTTAGGGTTAGGAAACCACCAGGGAGGGTTGTAGCAGAGAGGGTTTCTGAAAGCTATGTCTGAAGGAGGACAAGAAACCAGCCACACAGCGTAGAGGGAAGGACGTTCCAGGCTAAGGGAACAACAGGTACCAAAGTCCCAAGATGAAAAAAGGCTCTGCCAGATTGAGGAAGTGAAAGAACCCTGAGGTTTGGTGGGTGGGGCTGGAGCAGGAAGGTGGCTCAGGAGACCAAGCCAGGGAGGGTGGAGGCGGGCCCTGGAAGCTGGAGAACAAATCTGGATTTAATTCTAGGGGTGAGTGGAGGGGCGGGGCCTCATCACCATTCCTTTTTTTTTTTTTTTTTTTTTTTAAATATTCCATTTTAAAAACACCATTCCAGGAGTGTTTGGTTGGCTCAGTCAGGTAGCGCTAGAGTGGCTCTTGATCTCCAGGTTGTGGGTTCAGGCCCCATGTTGGGTGTAGAGATTGTTTAAAAATAAAATTTTAAATAATGATAACACCACCATTCCAGCTACAGAACAGAGAACAGACTAAAAGGGACAGAGTGGAAATAAAAGACTGGGAGGGGCTTTAACGTTCAGGCTGGAATGGCGGTGCTTGACTTAGACCAGGCCATGGCAGAGAAGATCAAAGGGATGGAAAAAAAACCATCTTTGGAGGGGGCACCTGGGTGACTCAGTGGGTTAAGCCTCTGCCTTTGGCTCAGGTCATGATCCCAGGGTCCTGGGATCAAGCCTGGCATCAGGCTCTCTGCTCAGCAGGGAGCCTGCTTTCTCCTCTTTCTCCTCTCTCTCTCTCTCTACCTACTTGTGATCTCTGTTTGCCAAATAAATAAATAAAATCTTAAAAAAAAAAAACCATCTTTAGAGATGAAATCAAAAGCACTTCCCAAAAAGCAGTGAATAACATAGATTCTAGAACCATGTTTTTGAGGCTCATGACCCCAGATGCACTGCTTGTTGCCGCTGTGATCCCAGTTGAATTGCTTAACCTGTTGCGCCTGTGAGGTCTGTTGAAAAGGAAAGTAGCATGTCTGAAAGTAAAGCTCTTAGAGTCTGGCACCCAGCAAAGACTACCCATGAGATGGTTGCTGTTATCCCTGCAAACGGATTTGAGAGGGAGGAAGGATCGAGGTTGACTTTGAAGCCATGAAAAAGGTTTCTGTGTTGAGCTTTGAGGATCTCTGAATTCCAGAGTGTGTCCAAAGCAGACCTTTAGTACTTATCACAAGACTTGAAAGGTAATAACCTTGATCCAGCAGTGCCCCAACTGGGAATCTGTCCCGTGGAAATAATCAAGGACTTGTGCAAAGACTTGATTGTAGGGACACCCGTAGAAGCACGGCTCTAACAGTAAGGTATGGAAAACTACATACTCCTTCAATAGTGGGACATTAATTAAAGACATTCTGCTCCAACCACATGAAGAGACATTCTGCAGCCTTTAAAATGATGTGATAAGGGGCACCTGGGTGACACAGTTGACTGAGCCTCCAACTCTTGGTTTTGGCTCAGGTCATGATCTCAGGGTCGTGGGATTGAGCCCCATGTAGGGCTCCGTGCTCAGCAGGGCATCTGCTTGAGATTCTCCTACCTCTGCCCCTCCCCCTTCCTCTCTCTCAAATCTTTTTTTTTTAATGATGTGATAAAACATCTATTAATGTGGAAATATGTTTGTGATATGCAAGTAAGTAAAAAGAACCAGTAGCAAAACCATATCACGATACTATTCAATTATCCAGTATATGTGTGCCTGGAAAAAATGTCCGGAAAAACAAACACCAAAGTGTCAACAGTGGTTATCTCTGGGAGTAAGATTATAGGTGGGGTTTTTTTGTTTGTTTGTTTTAAATTCTCTTATCTGAAAATCCTCTAACTTTACTATAGTACAGCAAACTTGTATTACCACCTTTAAAGACCTCTCTCCCCCCCCACCCCCCCCCCCCCCCCCCCCTCCCATGGCCGAAGCTGTAAAGGAGGAGGAATAATCAGGCATCTCAGCACCTGGGCCCCTATCTGCCAGGGTCCCCACAGACAGCCTCTGCTGTTTCAGGCACAGCAGGGCGGAGTCCAGCCTCTCAGGACAGACTCTGACCACATATCCTCCTGCCACTGCCCCCTGCATGCCCTCCACGCTGCTGTAAGTCCTAGACAACACCCCAGAGGCATCACCTCAGTCTGGGATGAAGTCAGCCAAATAGTACCTGTAGCATCGCCCCAAAGTGCTGACCCTCAAGAGGAGAGAGATGAAGAACTAGCATTCTTTAAAAAGATTTATTTATTTGAGGGAGTGGGCAGAGGGGCTGGGCAGAGGGAGAGAAAGAGAGTCCCAAGCAGACTCCACGCTGAGCATGGAGCCCAACGTGGGGCTCGATCCCACAATCCTGAGATCATGACCTGAGCTGAAACCAAGATCCAGTGGCTCAACTGACTGAGCCCCCCTCTCCCAGGTGCCCCAAGAGCTAGCATTTTTACAGGACTTCACAGTTTACAAAGGGCCCCCGGTCCTGGCTAGGATCTAAGTGAGGCAGCTCACATCTATATTTGATGATTCCCTTTTACAGTATTTTCCCATCTGCATAATGCCATTTGGTTCTCCACCCCCCCGCCAATTATTTATTTATTTAATTTATGTCGTTGTTGTTTTTAAGTAATCTGCACACCCA